AGTGAAATACACACAAAGGAATTTATTACTTTGTATAAAAACCACTAATTACTTTAACAAAATTATGGACATATTTTTCTTTCTCTTTTCTTCTAAGAGATGAGTTAAGTGCACATTTCCAGGAGATATACTTCCTCCCAGATATTCCAGAGTTAGCAGAAGCCAATAAGGTGCTGAAACAGTTTGGAGAAAACTGTGCCAAGTAAGTCTAGTTTAAAAGAGGACTGTATTTATGATCAACCATCACTTTGTTCCTTCAAAAAATATCCTGTTAAAATTGTGAATGTAATTGTTGCAGCCAGCACTTCTGTTTGCATGAAAAGGTCCTTTACTTCATGTTTTACTTCTGTATGCCTTACATTTTGAGTTGTAACTCTCATTCTTCACTGTTTCGGATGAGTGCCACATTAACTACATTCACTATGACATTGGAAGTAGATATGTTGGCTGTAACTTATATAATGTTGGCTTGACTAACAAAGCTACAAGTATGTTAGCATGCTAAGTAATCTTTTTTTTTTAGCTGGATCCAGAAATCTGAGGCAGGATTTGCAAAGTCATTAACTTTAATCCAAGCAAAGGCTCACAATTAATAAAGTTGCATTTATCCAAGTCTGTATTTAATAAGATGCTGGCTCTTTGAGATAGATGTTTCACCATTTGGGACATGCAGACGCAGAGTTTTTACTTCTGATAGAGGATAACTTTAGGCCGGGAGATGTAAAAATGTACACTAATGTGTCAGTGGCCAGGAGGCAGAAACAATGGACGGGTTTTCAGTTGAAAATCACAGGGGGAGAAGGATGACTGAAGAAAGCATTGCATATGACATTACCACATCCAGCATTATAATGGAGGTGGAGGCTGTAACTGTGGCATTTCAGTGGGTGGAGAAAATCTCAATGGCACATGTTGTCACGCTACCGGATCGGTACTGCAGCTGCACAAGGCATAGATGGTCTCTTGGCTGTGGGTCAGGGGAGCAAGTGAAATAGAAGATATTGAACACCCATACCTAGAGAGTATGATGCAGCAGGAAGTGTATATGGGCTCAACAGTAACTGATGTAGTTGGTGGTGCCACTCGATACTCCGGTGAATAAACGAACAAATAAAATTAATTTTCAAAGGGTTAAGAATTGGGCACGTAGGCCCGTCTATCATTCTGCCCTTCTATTCCCCCTCCTTTCATACATCGTTTTACTCATACATCAAGTAATAGTAAATGTTATCAAAGGCATCAAAATATTCACAACAAATCCTGATATGTGCATATTTCTAACTACAGTAAACCATAATAGTTGTGGTAAATCATGGGAAAATGTGAACCATTTCTTGAATATTTTTTATCTTCCGTGGTGGCATGTAATCTGTGCTAAGATAATATGCAAACAGTTTCCGATTGTATGTATAGGGACTGGTTGTATTTTTGATTTGTTATGGAAGATAGTTCCCCAGTTAAAGGCAAGTCAAGTAGTTGATTGGAAGACAGCAGGCACCATCAGTATGAAGACTCTTCCCTGGCTGTTGAGGAGGGCTTGTCCCTAAATGCTGTGATAATCAAACTTATACCCAGCTAAACCCAAATGAATTTTTGGGAGAATTTTGGATTGCTGCTGATGCTAGGGCCAACCAGAAAGTTATATTCAACATAATAAGTCAACATTTCCAGGTGTTATCTGAAATCTTTGATATTTATTTCTTTGAAAAGTGAGATTCCTCATAAAGTAACATCTGGAATCCCTTCTTGGTAGATTTAAAATCGTATGCATTTGATCCTCATTAAAAAAAAAAAAAAACACAAAGAAGCTGATCAGTCTATCTTCTTACATCTATCTTCATATGTTATGCACATGTCTAGACATAAAATGTAATCATTTTCTCAGTTCTTGATATCACTTGAAAAAAAAAAAGATATCTATGCAGAATCAGATTATTAAAGTTGTCAAATTGCTGGTTGATTTTTAAACTTCCTATTTGTGTGATGACTATTTTCCACCCATGTCAGTAATAAAACAAAAACAGTATTGTGTCTCTTAGAAATGGTGCTGCAGCCACTTAAATTAGATTCTTACTTCTAAGCAGCTTCAGTTTTTGCATTAGCTGAAATTTGTAATTTTATAAAAGTAAATGTAAAAGACCCTTTTCTACATTGTCAGATGTATGTATCGGGCATTTAATGCTAGACCTTTTTTTTGAAGACCAATTGGTGCTTGGTAGGGGATATTTAACATCTTGTCGGCTGCCTTTACTTCACATGACTTTACCTCGTACCCCTTTAAGGCTGGGTCAACCTGGGAGCTAGTGTCATTAAAAAAAAAGTCCGGCTCATTTCAGATTTGAACCCATGACCTTCAGATCCACAGGCCAGCATCTAACCCCTACCAAGGTGGCTACCAATTTTATAACGTTAGATTAAATAAATAAAATGTAGCCTTGTTCTATTTTCTTTCTTATCTGTCAGCCTGTCTGTTAAGTAAGTATTTCTCCTGAATTCCCAGAGTGCAGGTTTAAAACAGTTGAAGAACACTGATCTTGTTGGATTTACCAGCTGTCTGATAGATAACAAACAACAACGTATATTTTGAAGTCATTGATATTCACTGGTTGTTTTACTATGTTTTTTTAATCTCTCATCCTCATATGTCTTGCTGACTGATGTGGGCTGTTATGCCTCTACAGCTTGCAGTCTCCAACAGCATATATCAGTTCAAATTAGTTAGTCTTTCCTCTTGAACCTAAGGCAGCGCATAGGGCAAAGAAGATAGCTCTGGTTGTCTGGTGGTTCGTTGCCACCTGATTTAGGTCTTGGATATTCATTAGGCCCATAGTTAAGCCTTTCCTGATGATGGCTCTACGCAGAGTCTCTCTTGGTCTTCCCGGATTTATTTTCCCTTCCAGTGTACATTTGAGGGCTCGATGGGGGAGTCTTGTCTTATTTATTCTGAGTGCATGGCCGGTGTAGTTCCAGCAGGGCTTTCTTATAAAATTGGATACATTTTCTTGCTTGGTCTCTTGTCTTATTTGCGTATTGGATCTGAAATATGTCCAGTAGAAGTTCAGTATTCTTCTAAGAAATCTGTTTTCAAAACTCAAATGTTTTTAAATTAAGAGCTACTTTTGCTTTCCAACTCTTGCATTCATAAGTTAGTACTGGAATCACACAAGAGTTGAAGATCTTAAGTTTTATGTGTTTGCTGAGTGTCTTTGACTTCCAGATGTTTGACAGTTTGGACAAGGCACTAGATGTCAATGCAATTCTAAATGATATTTCTCTCGTTGAATCCCCTGTAAATGTCATCTTACTCCCTTGGTATGTAAAGCTGTAGACTTTTTCAAGAATGTGATTGTTTAGTTTGATGTCTTCTGAACTACTAGTAAGATCAATAATTTTTTTGGGCTGTGTTAATGTGGAGACCAGTTTGTCCTGAAATATTTTGGAGATGGCCTGTTTTCTCTGGGATATCTGTTTGTGTTGAACTCAAAAGCACTTTGTCACCAGCAAAGTCGAGGTCTTCAAAAATGTTGTCAACCAATTTGATGCCCATGTTTGGGTTGTTTGTGCATTTCCGCATGACCCAATCGATTGCTTTTCCAAAGAGTGTCGGCATACACTAACAGCTTATATCAGTTCATATACTAACACCCACTCCTTTCCTAGAACTTTTGGAAGGGGGGGGGGGGGGGCGTAATAATTTTAGATTTTAGCTTTTGCCAGTCTTCATGTCAAGGAAAGCAGTAATGTAAAAATATACCAGTTAACTTTCTTTACGAAGAATTCTTCAGTATTCTAAATGTAGCTGACTATATTTTGACAGCAACTCAGATCTGAAAACACTGCTGGCACATTCCATCAAGGGTATCAGTCATGAGAGTCATGATGTCAGGGTTCATGCATTGCCCAAGTTGAGGAAGATTCTCAGGGAGAGACGGGTGGGTAGTTAACCTTATGTTTGTGTGATCGTCCAGGAATAGTGCTTTATAACATGACAGTTTGTTTCCTTTTAGCTTGTCATCTTTTCTTGTTTCCCCCCTTTGTTTCCTATGGCAATAAAGTTTAAACCAGTGTTTCTCAACCTTTTTACACCTGCATCCCACTGAAATCCCTTTATGATGGTAGTTGCTGGCTTCATAATAAAATATGTAGCCTTTAAGAAAAATATAAATGTTAATAGGCATCCCTGCTGCATTCCTCTTCTTATTTCAGATGTATTTGTTATTTTGCCAGATGAATAACTTAGCATTTTATGTCTTTATATGTATGTTTCATTCATCATCTCATCTAGATCCTCTTATACTTTGTGGCGTCAAGGTATGATTTACAGGAAAGAGCCGGCTTGTGTGCTTCATAAATTGGGATTCTCAGGGACTCTGTAATTTCTTTCTTCTGTCCATCACTTGCATAGTCGGCCTCTTCTTTGCTTCCTGTCTGGTCTGCACATCATTGCTTGCTGTGGTATACTGTCTGCTGACATCCACATTCTATGGACAAACCATTTCACCTGTTGTCTTCTTATGAAATCCAGAGCTGCTGCTACTCCAATTTTCCATCAGATTTCATCGTTTCTGATCTTATCTCTTATTGTTAGATTAAGAGCCCTTTGTAGGAGTCTCATCTCAATTTTAATTTTTCTTTTCTCTTTTTCTGTCATTGTCTAAGTCTGGCATTGGTAACACAGGGTTGGCAAGAAGATTGCATTATAGAGTTGTTTCTATTGATACATGTTTGTTTCTTAGTATTAGTGCCATTTGCCAAATCATTTGGTTTGCTTTGTTACATCTGTCATCAATCTTATCTCCTCATTATCAGTTAATAATGTCAAAGTGATTCTACTATAATTTTTTTTTTTTTAGTAACTAAATGTCAGCATGTTAGGTAATTATCGGTCCATAGATTGAGTTTTTGATTAGTCAGAATTTAAATTCTAAATGTATAAAAAAAAAGATGTTATAGGGCATTTTCAAATCTATAAATTTGTTTTTTGTTGTTGCAATATTTAGGTGGAACTAAGCAGCTATGTTCTAAACAGTGAACCGGCTGAGCCCATTTTGTCGGAATTGGTAACTGCAGTAAGTATTTGCACCATACTGTTAAATTCACATATTCTTAACTAGACGAAAATGCACATAGTGCAGCATATAACAAATTAATTTGTTCCAAAAGCTGTATTTATATAAAGAATAATAACTAAGGTCATGGTAGTAGGTAAGTGAGGCAGGGGCTGACCAGCATGAAGGTGGGCATAGGATATAAGACACCTAGGGCAGGAAAGTGCACAAGACAGGTGAGCTGGCAAGGGACCAAGTTTCAAGCTAGCTCTGTTGGAAGCAATATTCTGCAAAGGAGCTGCTACATGATGATGATTATATATCTTATGTTAGAAATAAGATTTTACTTTGCCTATTTAAAAAATTTTCCCTCCCTTAAAATGTTGAATCAAATATGAGTATGCAAGGAGAGCATTTTGTAGCCACATTTGTGCATCCTTAAAGGTCACATTTTGACAAATATTTAGTAGTCTGTTGAAATTTAACATGTTACCTATAAACTTACAGTGTTTTGTTAAAGACATTTGCTATAAACTGCTTAAAGGTTTTTCTTACTGAGTTTGATAAAAATCATTGTAAAAGGATTAATGTTGAAAGATAAGTGCAAGATTTAAATATCTTGTGTTGTGTATTGTTGTTTGTAACTTCTCTGGAAAAATCAGTACACAAAGAGACTGATCAAGAAAAAGGATACTGAAAGGTCTAAGATACTGAAAGGTCTAAGACAGTGATATGGTGGAATGTCATGACTGGAACCCAGAACTTTCTGCCAGAGTTTTACAGCCAGTGAATGCAAAGAAGAAGAACACTTAACTATTCTCAAACTGAATAAGTGACAAAAGTTAGCCTAATTTGTATACACAAATCAACACTTGGTCGATAATGTTGTAAACATCATGCCGGCAATCTTTACTTCATAGGACTTTGTGTGGTACCCATTTAGGTCCACCTGAGAGCCAAGGTCATTTTTGAATTTGAACCCACGACCTTTAGATCCGCAGGCAGGTATCTAGCCGCTATACTATGGCAGCTACTATGTAATTGGTATATAATGATGGGGAAGATATGATCCTGAAGGAGGGCATTTAATGTTGTTGTAAGCTGAGCTGTGGAAATGTGAAGTTTAATATCAAGTTGTTTATTATTTCTAGTTGCTGAGTGGTTGCAGAGATACAGACTACCGAACTCAGATTCTGTATGGACAGTGTTTGGGAGATCTGGGAGCCATTGACGCTGGGAGGTAATTTTTTATACTATCTAGACTGCATGATTACTACTTCAAGCAAACCACAAACCAAGAAACTCTGGACAGTATGATAACCAAGAGAAGATGGAAATGGCTTGGTCACATTATGAGAATGAATCCTGATATGCCTGCCAAAACAGCTCTCACACGGATACTAGAAGGAAAGAGGAAAAAAGGGGAGACGAACAATGGAGAGTGACCTGAATGTGGCATCTCTGACATGGAAAACTGCACTAAAGATCGCATAGAACAGGAGAGCATGGAAAGTCCTCTCTGAAGCCTCATGTGCCACTAGGTTCAAAGAGAATTGATTGATGATGATGATGATACTGTGTGATTAAAAGATCATAGTTGGACAGTTGAAGTACGATAAGCACCATTTTAAAGGCAATACTGACAAGTTATGCAGAAGGAAGACAGAAACAGCAGTGGATTGATAATATTAATTGGTGGACTGGTAGAAGCTTTGAGTGCACTGTACAAGCGCGGCAACACTAGAGAATAATCACATCTGGCCATGAATTGTTGATAAGGCACTTTTTAAATTAAGTAGCAGTGTCGTAATCATATTTATGTGTCTCCCCTCCCCCTCCAATCTTAGAGTTACATTTTAAAACTGTAATTACTGCCTTTATTTAGCACTTTTGCGGTGTAGGCAGGGAAATCTTTGAGCCTAAGGGTTTAGGGCCACATGGCTATTGCAGTTGCCACAAACTGCTGGTTAGGATTCTATTTTAGTGAGCTTGTAGCTTTAATGAAATACAAGATGTATTTTGAAACAGATACTAAGGAAATGAGAAGAGACATTGGAGAACATCGTTAAAACTGGAAAGATCAGTGGAAAATGGGGTAGAGGCAGACCAAGAGAGATGATGCTGGATGGGCTGGAACGATGGCATGGAGGGATATCATCAAGAGAGCTGTTCCAGGCAACCAGGGATCGTGATCTGTGGAGACGCATGAGCGCCTACGCCAGTTGGCAGGGCACATGATGATGATGACTAAGGAAAGCCATCATTGACAAGGCATTTGTAGTTTTACAGTGTGTGCTTAAGTAATGTTATTGTTTCACTAGCTTGTCATTCTCATGGCTGCAATAAACTTTAGCCCCAGTCATGTAGGATATTTTTCAGTTAATTTGAGTAGGTTTAGAAATTCTGTCTTATACTTATGTGCAAAAATTTGGTTACTGTTGAAAATTTTTTTTTATATTGTTTGTTAAAAAGCTTTGATCCATTGGGTCACTTCTGCATTTTCTTTTTCACCAGCATTCCAAGCTCTTGAGGTTCATTGCTGCAGATATTTACTTGCTTCCATTCATCTATTTGATTGGTCTTCTCTTACCAGTTGATGACTCCAAGTGTTTTTAGGTCTGCATGTAAATTATCTTCTCACCAACTTCTAGGCCTGCCGCATTATCTCTCCCATTCAACTCTTTTATGTACACAGTTTTTGTCTGTCTGTTGCCTGTCTGTTATTTGCTCCAGCTATTGTAATCTATTGGCCTTCTCTATGCTAGTAGTTAATTGTAGTTAAAAATTTGGAATTTCAATGTTGCATATTGTTATTTCTTAATCATGGTTTAGGAATCTTCAAGTTACCACTTTATGTTTTAGCAGCTGTAAAAATATCTAATCCCATATGAAACAGAAAATCTTGTATTAAAGTTGTGTTTCACTGAAGGTTGGAATTGATCACAAAACGACCTGATGTAAAGTTGGCCAACTTTCACCCATCAGTCAGTAACGACGACTTTGCCTATGAACTTATTAATGTGGTTGTTAAGGCATTTCTTGCAGCCACTGAGCCACGAGTTCAAGTAAGTTCAGAAGATTTTATTTGTGTGTTTTATTCTACTTTTATGAAACTTTTTTTTTCAATTCATGACATAATCATAAAGTTAGCTGCATAGTTTCTTTAGTATTGTAGACCAGCGCTTCGTTAGACTAAAATTTCTGTCAGATTTTCTGTCAGTAATCATTAATTCTTTTGCCCTGAGAAGCTACAAAACCGCCACTTCAGGTGAGGTCCGATTTCCTATAAATGTCATTTGTCTAACTTGTCTATATTGACCTGTTTACAAGACGCATAGTTGATGCTATTGGCTGTTTTCGCATCCGTACAAATGTTTAGGAATTCAGGATGTGAATACATTAACTAACAATAACATGTGAAGGGAGGGGCGATGAATACCTTTAAGTAAAGGGCCTTTTAAAGCCCAAGTTGACATCAGAATTTCCCCATAAGCCTCAATGATAGAGGTCATGACATTATTCACCCGAAACATGTTTTTTTTTGTTTTCTTTAATGCGCTGGTGGATGTATTTGGTGCAGTGCTTCACCCTGTTCATTTTTATTGATTACTCCTTTCGTATACCACAGAGAGCCCTCTCGTTTAGACACAATGGAAGCAACTGGAGTTCGACCATGCAAGTGATGGATAGATAAAATATTCTAGTCATAAATATCAGCCTCTTCAAAACCTGACACTGAAATACAGAAGAGAAAGATCCTGGATTTTTTTTTTTATGTAGCTTTTATATGTTACACAGTCACTGCTCTACTTGTTTATATGAAATAACTATAGTAAAATAAACAGTATGGTATAAATGTTCAGATTATGAAATATTGCCACACACAAATCGTGTCATATTATTGAATTGTGATGTATGTGAAATGAGTATGTTATCAATAATCAGTTTGACAATTATTTTCTCATTAGGACAGCGCCTCATTTGCCTTGCAAGAATTGCTGCAGATTTACAAAATTCGAGAACCTGGCGATAACCAGAGTGCCAAATCCAAGGGCAAACTATGGGACCGTTTTCCTGATCAGACTCAAGAAATCCTCATTCCTCTGCTGAACTCTAAGTATGCATATGGATAATATGTTTTTACTTCTTTTTTTATTGTCTTTATTTTAAACTAGCTGTACCCGGCCATGCGTTGCTGTGGCCCAGATTGGTGAAACGGAGAGGAAAGAAAATCGCTCTCAGCTAACAGTGTCTGTCATAACCCCCCCCCCCCCCCCCCCTCCACCAATCATATTTCCCTCTCCAAAGGACTGAACAATCATCCATGGCGAAATTATTAAAAATAAAAAATAGTTAAGAAATGAGAACTTTAAAATAATATTTTAAGCTCTCTTAGCTAACTGTGTCTGGCGTAAATCCCCTCCCCCCCTTCCCCAATCATATCATCATCTCTGAAGAATGGGAAAGTCACAGTGTAACGAAATATTGAAACTAAATTAAGTTTTGCATCCGTGTCTACCCAGACTTAAATAGGTGGCATTAACTTGTACAGAGAAGTAAATGTAGCCAGTGTAACAGCTACCACATCACCCATCCAGTACTAGTGCAACCACAACCACCACCACCATCACAACAACAACAACAAAAACTGTCACTACAGTCTGTGTAGGTCGGTGTAGAAAAGAGGAGTTAGCGCTGCATGCTGTCGCCACAGACTTTTTAGTTTGATTTTGCCCCGGACATAGGGAAAAAAAACTTCAGCACGTAACCAGTGATGGAACCCACAGTGAAAAGTACACTATACTCACGAATAGGGGAGAAAAATACCTCGCACCCGTCATCTCTGACCTTGGCATCCGTTTCCACCCAAACCAAACTGGACTGTAAGCCGTCTTAGTTAACAGTTTCTGTCATCGCCGAATAGTTTTTGATCGAGAAACGTTGCGGGAAGGCTAATTAGGACTTAACTGAAATCGGATGTCTTTGGGCGAAAGGCGCAGATATCGCAGCCTAGCTGTAAACCACAACACAACGTGGCAACCACCCTTTTAAGGGAAAAAGAACAATTATCACAAAGCAGGGAATCGAACACCGGTCACCCGAGTGAAGGATGACATACTTACAACTTTACTACCGACGACTGAAGAGTTTAGGTCAGATATCGCAGCCTAGCTTTAAACCACAGCACAACGTGCCAACCGCCCTCTCCAGAGTGAAAGAAGATTACCCGTGACATGACCATTGAGCATCCCGTCACCGCTGTCGCAGGCTAGCTGTAAACCCCAAAACCGAAAAAGGCGTAGATATCGCAGCCTAGCCATAAACCACAACACAACGTGCCAGCTGCCCAGTTAGGGGCTAAAAAAAAATATTATATCACCTGGTAGGGAATCAAACGCAGGTCACCCGCATAATAAGCAAAATAGTTACCAACTACGCTACCAAACACTCAAGCAGATAGCGGAAATTAAACTATATACTAATGCAAAGTTCAATAAGAGCTCGGCAGCCAAAAATGGCCGATCACATAAAAACAACTCCGGCAACAAAACAATTAATGATTTGACCGTTGCTGGCGCTATGTCGTTCGTGGTTTGTGCGATTTTCTGACAAAAAAATCATGCTTGGGGTAAAGGCAACGTTGTGTGCAAATTTGAAAGCAATCAGTTCAGTAGCTTACATCATCGGAAAATTAACATTTTTAATAATATAGATCAATAGTCCAGCTGCTTGCATTGACAGCCGCTGTGATGGCAGCTAGATGCTCGCCTACAGATCCTAAAGTCATGGGCTCAAATCGGCATTGAGCTGAATTTTCCTCAAACATGACCTTGGCTCCAAGGTCACCCAGCCTGAAGTGGGGACCAGGCTAACTCCTGGGAAGTAAAGGCGGTCAGCGTGATGTTGACCACATCGCCCATCGAGGGGGGATTGGTCTTTAAAAATATGAGTCTAGACTCATATGTCCAATGCACCACTGGCGTGTCAAGGGACTTTACTCTGTATTACATTATTTGGTAAAGTAAGTGAAGGACCCTTTTCCACACCTTTAGGAGTATAGGGCTAGACCTATATTTTATAGACCAATCGGCACAGGATGGGTGATATGGTCAGCATCACGTCGGCCGCCTTTACTTTCCGGGACTGTATCCGGTACCCACTCAAGGCTTGGTCAACCTGGGAGCCAAGGGACATTATTTGGTGATTCAACAAAAATAGTGATATTTCTAAAGGTATAATTTTGGTACAGTGTGAGAATACAATTGAAGATTTTAAACTTTATAGATCGATAAGAGGAATATCATGACAGAAGAATAAAACAAACAAAGCAGCATTGTTACAGTTTAGATTGCAGAAAACATTACTCATGAAACCAAGATCAGACAGTTACCATTAGGTATTAAAGAAGAAAAACTCCTTGTTAGAGAGTGCAAGAGGAAGACATTCATAGATATAAACAACAACATGAGGTGGCTTAAAAGGAGCTTCTATGAACTCACAGTGAAGAACAGAAGTTGAGCTTCGCTACTGAGATATTTTGTTTATGTCTTTGTTGTTCAGTTTTACAACGGGAAAAAAACTGCTTTAAATATTTTATGATAAAAACAGTATATTCAAACTTTTCAGGCTAATTTAACTTGTTTATGAAAATAAATGTTAGAAATATCAGTATATTTTCTATCCAGATACAAACTCAACCCAGATGCCAAGTATGCCAGCTATCCTCGACCTCTTTATCGCAGCGAGAAAGGGAAAGACTTTGTAGACTGGATCTCTAACTGGACCGGATACCTTATCACAAAGGTAAATTAATTTGTTTTGGCATTCTGAAAAATTTGACATGGTTTTAAAGAACATCATCGTTTGAGATCTTCTTCCCCTTCACTGACTGTTATGCAACAGCAAGTTCTGGTTATTTGTTTACTACTGGACAAAAGTTTGAGTTTTGCATGCTGCAATGTGGCTCTGTTAGGGGTTTGATTTAACTCGTCACATTGCTATATTGGCGCTCTTAGGTACACACAGTTACTAAAGATACACCAGACGACAAACACTCAGTTTTTGATCTTTATTCGCTGTTCCAACGTGGTTGCTACGCATGGCTGATTCTTGATGACATTGGCAACTATCTCACACGGTGATTCTCTCTGCCATTACCTTTCGGATCATACGTTTGGATCATGCTAACATATTGTACCTTGTACCTGTACACTATTGAAACTTGCAATCAGGAGACATTCATTTCTGCTCTCGAACAAATACACGTGGTCAGACGATCTGCATTCTTCTCAGCTGCTCTCGCATTTGACCGCACACATCCAGGTCCAAACTTCAACTGGCTTCCTACCCTCTCTGGGTTCACACCTTCCTTTAAAGTCTCACGCTTTCCTTGTATCCCTATTCACTCATCACGGGATACTCAAGACCTGCTTATCTTGCTTTCCTCTTGTTTCACTGGTCTTCTGACCTTGTCCCCCAATCGGGAACTCTCTGGGATTTCCCCGGGATTTCACAACATTACACATGCCCCTCCGTTTTACAGATCTTTAATTTGTATGCAGAGTGTTGATTCCTTGCTACTTAGGCGGATGCACTCCAACTTCGAAGAATGCAGCCTAATTTAGTCAACTTTTAGGACCTGCTTGTCAGGGGGTAGTGGGTCTACACCACACCCCTCCCCCACCGAATTGCCCAGTGGAGAACCGGAACCCACTCACAAATCTGTTATATTAAAGTTGATACCACCTTTTTGTGGCGCTGTGATTTCCGTCACAGGTATAAGGGAAAGTTAAGTGCAATGTGATGTGCATAAGAAGATGCTCCGTACCTCACCTCGACCGCCAGCCTTCTCTGTGCCGATTTTATGGAACCTCATGCAAGTCTTCTGCTGCATGTCCTTGCCGTGCGCCACAAAAGAGCATTAATAGAGCTGGCAGGGGATCTTAGAGCTGGTGGCCCGCAGAGATGTAGGATTCAATCTGGCTGCCATCAGCCCACACCAAAACAAGGGTGAAAATGTCTGTCAAAACTTGTTTGGAAAATGAGTAAAGTCGGTGCCTGCCGAATGTACCACACAATGACAACTCGGTTAAAAGTCTGTCGAAGGAAATAACAACTGAACTGCTGAGACTCAGCCCTAGACCAAGAGATGTGCCCACTGCTTAGACGAGCAACTTCTGTGGGCAGTTTTTTGCAGTAAAATCCTGTCTTCATACATCTTCTGTCAACCCTCAGTGTCGTCGTCACTGCATTGAGGTACACCACCATAGCCACTGTCAATTTGCTGGTTAGGCTCAAATGTCCTATGGCACACCAGCAAAGTCTCAGTGTCAGAACATCATAAATCCTGCTGATTGACAGAAAGTTTCAAATGTCCGTATGAATTGGCCCCACTCGCGAAAGTGTTGGGACCAAACAGGTGGAACATGCCTGATGCATGCCTCTCTATGTGTAACGTAAAGAAGAAGAATCTACCTATTTATGTGGTCATCATAGCCCTGGACCTGCGGGCTGCTCCCTGCTGATCTCTGAAGGATGTAGCCTGTGATGAGTGGAAAGATTAACTTACATTTGTGAGGATAATCAGTCAGGATATGATGATTCCTTGGGTGAGCCCAGGACCAGAGCATCATGTATCAGCTCTGCATTTATGGAAGCCTCCTTGGATGGCGGGGAATGCACATGATCTGCCCTTGCCTTCCTTTGAGGGCCGACCAATCTACATGCAGTTGCCCTAAATGGGTTTTCCATGGGAAATTAAGGTACAGACAGAAAACAACACAAATAAGGCAACATCATATACCACAAAACAATGGCCACAGTCATCCTAGAGATAGAATCGACGTCTTCCCTCGAAGTCGGAGTACATTTGCCCGAGAGGCAGGGAACAAGAACTGCACGCAGATAAGCCAGTAAAACTTATCTACATGTAAAACTCAGGACCTGGTAAAAAAGTCCAAATGGACGAACAGCCAGGACTTTCAGCCAGAATTCACAGCTGGTGAATGCAAAGAAGAAGAATACCTTTTTATAAAGCAGAATGCATGTGCATTTGGAAACCTGTTGTTGAGTATGATTATGCTGCCTATTGTTATTATTTTCAATTTTTAAATACAA